ATTGCTGAATTATTTTTTTCTCCTTACAATAACCTTTCTCACTGATGAAATGTTGGAAGCCTCTCACTGCTTTATCACCATTTCCATAGAAAGTGTTCAGACAAACTACATCCCTTAATCCCACCAGTTCTAACCGCCAAAGACCTGCCATTTCACACTCATTCTCTTTGTATTTCACGAGTTAGATATAAGTTCCACTTAAGCAACTGCTTCCCACAAACAGCTGCTATGTGGAACAGACTCCTAAGAAAATGCTTCCCTGATCACTACAAACTTAACCTGTTGAAGTCTAGGGTCAGCTGTTATCTTCACCACAAAATATGCCTCTTACTTTGTAATCCTATCCCTCAAGTGGCTCTTGGGCCTTGTACAGGATAAATATCATTGTAAAAAAAAAAAAAAAAACTAATTTATAAATTATTTTTATATTTATAAAATCTTTTTAAAAAGCTAGAGACACTAAGCACATGGCTTCCATTTGGATATTTTAAACTGGATACAAAAGTCCTTAATTGTTAAAAAAGAGTGAATACTCCTTTCCCATTCAGGGGATTTAAATCAGTCATTATCAGCCTCTAAAAAAAAACAAAAAAAAAAAAAAAAAAAACATTCTTTATAAATCCCTTTAAATAAAAACTGTACCACTAATCATCTTCGGCAATGCTAAACCAAAATTTCACACCTAATTTTTCCATATCAAAATTTAAAATGCACCCTAGAGTTTGCTATTTTACAAGTGCACCCTGAAATAAAAAAATAAGTTGAGAAACACTGTTCTAAAGTATCATATCGAATTCCAGGTTGCACCACATTACTGTACAAAGAGAAGCAGGATTAGAGTTATTTCTTGATGCCTGTGGCATAACAAAACTGCACATACACAATAGGCCTACATTAAACCTGATCTTATGTTGAATTTGCCATAATGGAAATGGTAGAAGAGGTTACAGTTTTTAACATTTTTACTTCCAATTGTATTAATGCTTCCTTAATCAGATGTGCAAATATGTAATTAAAATCGACTGGTGCTTGATATGCACAATCAAAAACTTTTCTGTCTGAATTTCTGGGATGTGGAATTATCATCATTTCAGCTGTTGTACTGTCTGGTTTTCTCCAAATTTCTGTCAATCCAAATAACCTACAGGGAATTAAGAGTTTAATTCCTGGGCACAGTAGTTATAGAATCCAACCACATGAATATGAGGTGAGCAATAACATAGCAGTATTAAACAAAGAACAATATGGAGATATCCCTAAACACAGTCAGCAGAACAAGAACAATCTGTCCCCAGAGGTTAAATAAAGAGTACAATTTGTAATTCCATTAGGTGGAAACAGGGTGGCAATAACTGAGCAGTACTAAATAAGAACAAGAGGAGATATCCCTAGACATGGACTGTGAAACAAGAACAATCTGACCCCAGAGATTAAATAAAGAGTTCAGTTTATAATTCCCTTAGGTTATTGGTGGAGAAAGTGTGAGCAATAACTAAACAGTACTAAATAAGAACAAGATGTAATATCTCGACACATAAACTATGGAATAAGAACAATCTACCCCATACATTATGTAATGGATTCAGTTTAAAATTTCCTGAAGGTTACCCAGATCAACAGATATTAAAAAAAAAGAAAAAGACCATAAGGCACAATAGCTGAAACATTATGTAATAAAGATGATGGGATTAGCCTGGATGTAAATAAAAGCTTTCTAATTTTTTTAAATAATCTTTTTTTTTTAGCCTGCAATTTCTTAAGAGAAATTGACGCTGACAGTCATATTTGGCTATATTTCTAACAATCATATTTTCTAAAAAGTTTAATTTTTTTCCTTAATTATAGAGATTTAAAAACCTGCAAAATATAAAATAATTGCTTCAAGTTGAACATAAAGGAAACTGTAGAAAAAAATAAACTCAATCATGAAATGTCATAATAGGGGGAGGGAATGTCATTCCCATGGTAATGATGTGATGAGCTGTTTCCATACAGAAAACACATGACATTCATTGATTGAACAGTTACCATTAGTTAAAATTTATAAAAATCTTTCTTAAAACAATTTTTCAGGAAGATAGGTTTCTCAAGTTCACAGTTCTTTTTAGTATTGATAGGAGTTTTCTTTCTCACCTTTTGTTTAAGATAGTGTGGAAAGTCATCTTTATATCTTTATTTTCTCTTCTAGTTACATTTTTTTTTTTTTTTTTTACTAATATTCGCCCAATACAAGGCCCAAGAACCATTCAAGGTAGAGGGTTAGCATAGAAAAGAACAAGCCTTAAGAGTATAGAACTGAAGGAAACTTTAAAAGAAATCAGAAAACAATTGTAAACAGGAAACAAGGGATAAACTCCTACTCCTGTTCAAAAGATTTGGTACATCAGTTGTTGTTATTGGAAGTAACCAACTGATGTCATTTTTGTGATTTTGTGGCGCTAGTCTATAGGGTATGATGAATGATTGTATTCTCTAAAATCTAAAGGAAACGCTTGCTGGAAAACATTTTTAATCATTGATATAAGAAAACAGTTGTATATACCTAATAGTTTAGACATTTCAATATAAGGTGAACATCAAGCATAACATCCATATTACAGTCTAAATCTTAATAATTTAATTATTTTAGGTTATTATTTTGGTTTAATTGCATATTGGACAAAAATACTCCTAACACAACCTGTCCTGCCTTCATTTTCCTCATCTCTGATACCGAATTTGTTAAAACTGATCCATACAGACATATTTTAAATATTTAGAATTTATTAATTCTATTGTTAATTTTCATGAGATTCAGCGTATGTGCCATTACAACTTTCATTCCAATTAATTTATTATGAAAAGGTTTATCTTAGGTACTACTTCTAGGAACACTTGGAAAAGAATGTTGATTTTTTTTTGTTCAAGATCATTCTTATACCAACTATGAATATCTATGTTGTCAGTACACTGACCTGAAGATGGAAACGAATGTGGTTTTGTCTTGGCAATTTCATTTGAAATGTGCTATGGAATGTTTAAATGATCAGTGCCCATCTCTTCATATCTGTGCTTGTATTCACACGGAGCACAGTCTAAGAAGAGATTAAACAGATTGGGGCTTTCATTTCCTGTTGTACTCCTGACAAGGTTTGAAATGATTTGGTTTTTGGGGTATTCACCAAACATATAAAACTTCTGTTGTTTCATAATATGTAAAACAACACACCATATTTTTATTTATATAGGTATATAGACTAGATCCATCTTTCATATTTTGCTTCCATAATACCCAAATATTAAATATTTAAATATTAAAGCAAAAATTCTAAAATTGTAGCAATAATCAGGTGTTTTTTTTATAAAAATTTAAAACATATTGCAATTTAAAGTTTTAATTGTAACTACAGAATAACATAAAATTAGTGATAAAAAATTACTTTTGTATAAAGCAGGTTTTAAAATGCTTATTAAAAGCCTTCAAAAATGAACTTCGATTATGCCATGATCCGCAAATAAATTTTAACTCTTAATTTTTAAATATGTACTTTTTATACAAAATGTTATACAAGACAAAAAACAAAAACAAAACACTTTTTCCTTGTGTCTTAGTGGCATTATCGCCTTGCGTGAGGTGAATTGATTTGATTAAAAACAAAAACAAAAAAACATCCGTGTGTCAACCTGTCAAGCCCATCAACTTTCCTTACCCATATTAAAAACTAGATCAAATTTACTAGACAAGTGAAGTATGGATGACCAGAAGTGACAAATCCTCGTATTATGCACCATAGTATACGTATATTCTCAACATTTAAAACATTGTCGTGTAATAGGCAACAATTGAGTGTTTTTTAACTCACATTTTCTGATAAACTTGAATACAGAAACAGTAGTTTCTAAGATCAAACTATAGATAGAATATAAATCAAAAATTGTTTTTTTAAGTTTATGATGAGTAAGAAAAATAATAAATTTTTAAAAAGTTTTATCTTTTTTTAAACTAAATGAAAAATTGTTAAATTTAAAGCTATTAAAAATAAAATGCAATTAAAAAAAAAAAAAAAAAAACACCGTTCAACTAATGATTTAATAAAAAATGTTTTGAGTGATTTATGACTTTTCAAAATGGCGAGAACAACAATCAATGCTTATTGAAACGTAACATTTTTGACAGGTAATTTTAGAGCTGAACAATTAGATATTTAAATTTAAAGGTTATTAAAAAAAAAAAAAAAAAAACTTATATTTTGTTAATGAAAATTACTATTTGATCTAATGAATGTTTTTACCTAAACGAGAAATCGTCCCAGCTATAAAAGAATCCCCCGCTCTAGTCAGCATTTTATTTTATTTTAAATTTAAATACACAATTTTAATAAAAAAATACATTTAAACTTGAAACCAGATTCATAAAAAATTCATTTCAATTTTTCAAGTTATTTTGGTTGCTCTTGAAAAAAATTATTTTAAAAATATGACAATTTTCAATTAAAAAGAATGCTTCAAATAAGAAATCTAAGTCATTATCGCAAATTATCTAAAAGAGAAAAATGACAGGAAAATAAGATTTATTTTTATTTAAATATTTGGTAATAATTGTCGTTTTAAAATAAAATTAAAAATGTCTTTGCTAGAAAAAAAAAAGTAGATGGAAGTTTGATTCTTGAAAATGAAAACGTAACAATAAGATTAAGAATTACTTTAATCAAAATAATTAATAAAGAAAAAGCTATATATATATTTTTAACTATTTTCTTTTATTAATGAAATCGTATTTATTTACTTAATAAAAGAAAACAATCGTAAACTTCTCCACATCGAAAAGAAAAAAAACCGGTTTATAAAAGAAAGACATCAAAATAAATAATGCGGAATAAGATGGGAAATTATTAAAAAGGAACATTTTTTTTTTTTCAAGGAGTTAAAATTTATAAAAAAATGTTTAAAACATCCCCACAAAAAATGTTGAAGTGCATAAGCTTGCAAATAAAATAAAAACATGAAGAATGAAAACTGACCTGGAATATTCCTTGTTGTGGCATTTTGCTTTGTTAATGGCTACGAACAAACAAGCAAAGATAGACCCCCCCAAAAAGTGCGCATGCTCGTCACCGCCAAAACCGGAAGTAATAGTTTTTACCTGGCTTCATATTCTGTGTATACATTTGAACGTCTTTTTGTTTCTTTTCTTTGGAAAACCAATGGTTCTGTACTTGGCACAGCTGAAATATTATGGCCATTTATGTCCAATAATTATAGTAATAAATATCGACCTACTTCCTATTAAATAAATTGGGCAGGATTATTAGTAACACCCTGATGTCTGCAGCATAAGCTGATATGACTTAAAATTTAAAACTACTCATATGCAAAAATGTGTAGAGTACCACATTAAAGTGACTTGTTTTATATTTGCCACTGTGGCGAGGTAAATAAATATGAATACAATAGAGTTTTAGCTTGGTGTCAGTGATAGCTTGGAAACAGACTCATATTTGAAGATATGAATATATTTTTGAAGATGTCACACAACTCTGTCTATATCTCTGAGATGAGGTATTATGATTACTTGTATTATTTACATTATTTGGACTGTTATCCTCATCTTCATTGCCAAATTCACAACATTTCGGCCATTGTATGCTCTGGCCTTCTTCAGGTGACTGGAATTTCAAGCCAGACCCTTTACTTCGTCCACCCGGGTAAATTGTTCTAGCACCACATGCCATGCCTCTTCCGGATGTCTCAGTTATTTCCCTTTAACTCAACTCTAACCAGCATCTTTATCCACTGGAACATGTGTCCTTGAATTTCTGGGACTTATAAACCTAATGTCTCAGCAAACATTTTTTCATCAGTTCTCATATTGCAATTTTTTTGTTATTATAATTTCATTTTTTTACCAGAGCTTATATTGCAATTTTCGTTGTTATTCATTGCTTTTCTCTAGCACTCGTCATTATTGGTTCCCATATTACATTCATTTCTATGCTTGGCCGGCTCAGGAGATTTTTGTGGCCTTGCATATGTGCTGATTCCTTAAGTTTTCATATTTTCCAGTGATGCTCTCTGTCTATTATTTCAACCTCATCGCACAGGGGCAGTGATTTCCTTTTTCCCTCCATATGTGGTCAGCTATGCCTGATTTTTCTATTCCCCTTGTGTTACTTCATTATGATGTTCTTTCAGTCTTACCTTAAGGGGTATGCCTGTTTCTCCTTTGTATTTCTTACTGCAGCTGCACGGGATGGTGTACACACAGTCCTTAGTCATGTTCTCCTCTCCTGCTAATAGATTAAATTGAATATTTTCAATAAGCAAAATACTTAGCTGTATTTCAAAACTAATTCAAATTAACTGGAAAGAATATTTACTTTAAAATTGCTAAAATAGCTGATAGCCTATTTTTATCCATCTATCATCACAATGCAATTCTTTTTATTAAAAAATCTTTCAAAAATAAAATATACTTTTCAAAAACTTTATTTGAGAAATATTAGCTGATTTAAAGTTTAATTAATCTGATTTGAAACAAATATTACTTCAAGTTTAAATTATTGCAGAAATGCATTTTTAACACAGCAGTAGTTGTTTATTTAGGGTGTTAACAGGTTGACTGACAGACGGAAGTTTATTTAATTTTTTTTTCTAGGGTCGATATATCTGTAAACAATTTCTAGGGGAATATAATGTGAGTGCATTTTTTTATATAATTTTTATTTACTCAGTAATCTTAAAAAAGTAGGAAATCATTCTCCATAATTTAATGTTTTACTGAATTTTAGGTACTTTGGCTTTAAATTTACTATAGTTCAATCAGTTAAGTGTATCACATATGGCACTTAACTGACTGCAGTATAGTAAATTTAAAGCCAAAGTAGCTAAAATTCAGTAAAACATTAAATTATGGAGAATATTTTCCTATTTTTTTAGGATTACTGGGTAAATAAAAATTGCATAAAATTGCACTCACATTATATTCCTCTAATAATTGTTTACAGATATATCCACCGTAAAAAAAAAAAATTAAATAAACTTCCGTCTGTCAGTCAAGCTGTCAGCACCTTAAACACAGGTCTTATTTTTGATAATGTCATGTATGGCCGATCCCATATATAAACGAACACGGACACACACAAAACCAACCTGGGTTTTTATAATAAGTATAACTCGAGATGAGTTGTCCCCCTTTCATTCTGGTGACAGAATCGTGTTTTACCGTGTTTTCAAATTGATTTCGTGCAAAAACAATTGTGTTTTTCCAATTTTTGGCGCTGTCAGAACCACCGCAATGTAATTTTACGTAGTCCTGTGAAGTTTTGTTGAAATCGGTTGAAAAATGTAGTAAATCCGATCCGATATATAAACTCACACACACACACACACACACACACACACACACACACACAATCTGAGTTTTATAATAAGTAAGATTCAGAGCAGATTTTTCAGTAATTGGTGTTTCTGTTTTACAAAAAAAGAAATTGATGATTTACATTCTCCAAAGAACTCTGATTTTTTTTAAAAACTAATATAAACATTAAGCTCTATAACATTTTTATTTTAAATTTAATTTCACGAATTTTCGTAAATTTAAGTGTGTGTTTAGTGGGGGTAACAAATGTAAACAAATTTCATAAAATAAAATATTTCTAAAATAATTTCATTCATTTATAAATGAGTCCTGAAATTTTCATTAAAATCTGACAGTTATTTGAATTTTGCAAGAATTCTCGAATCAATGCTTTTTTAAATTATTGGCATTTTAGATTTGGATATAGAAATCCAAATTTATAGAAGAGAGATAACTCAAGAAAGTAAATGTATGAGTTATGTTCCTTGTGCTGATTATCAGCCAAATAATATTAAAAAATAAAATACAGTGGAACGCCGGTTCACGAATTTAATTCGTTCTTGAAGGCCTTTCGTGACCGGAAATGTTTGTAAACTAAAATTATTTTCCCTATAAAAATCAATGTAAAATAGATTAATCCGTTCCTGGACCTCAGATGATTGCTTATTTAAGCTTTTACAACAGCAAAAGTCACTATTTGCTGCTTGAATGAAAGAACGCATTGCATTTCGCAAATTCGGCTCCAAGGATTATTGGCGTCTCTGCAAGTGCGTACTTAACAATAGCAAACCCTCTATACCTCTTTTGTTTAACCAGTTCGAGGTTCTGACCTCTTCTGCCGACAAGGCTGAATGCTTTGCTCAGAAATTCTCACTCAATTCAACGCACGACTCTTTCGGTGTATCCACACTCGATTTCCCCCTTAGAACTGAGACTCTATTAAGCGAGCTGTACATTACCCCGTCATCGGTATTGGGCATTATCTCTAATTTAGATCCCCACAAGGCTAGTGGTGGAGATGGGATACCAGCCATTGTCCTGAAGAAATATGCGCCTGAACTGGCACCTGCCCTCTCCAAATTATATAACTACTGCCTCAGTGAATCTTGTTTTTTAGACTGCTGGAAGTCTTCATTCATTGTTCCTGTCTTTAAGAACTCTGGTGACCCTTCTAATTACCGTCTTATCAGTCTCCTACCCCTCTTCGGCAAAGTCTTGGAAGCTTTAATCAACGCCGAAGTGGTTAAGCACCTCACATCCCATGATCTGCTCTCCGACAAACAATATGGTTTCCGCTTTGCCCGTTCTACAGCTGATGTGCTTACGGTCATCACTGAAATTGTTTACCAAGCACTTCATAATAACAGAGAAACTCGTGTTGTGGCTCTAGATACTCTCCAAAGAATTTGATAGCATGCCGACCGTCTTCGCAAGCTTCAGGGTCATGGAATTTCAGGTCGATTGTTTGACTTGATACAATAATTCCTGTCAAACCATGTATTGAAGATCGTTCTCAACGGATTCTGCCCCAGCTCCTATCCCACGAACGCAGGTGTTCCCCAAGGCTCCATCCTAGGCCCTACTTTGTTCCTTATCTTCATCAACGATGTTGCTGACGTCATAGATTCCCAACTAGGCATCTACGCGGACGACACTACAATTTACTTCTGCCTCAAAAACAAATCTAGTGTCGTTGACAAAACTAACCTTGCCGTTCGTCTCGCAAAGGACCCCCAATCGGTTGTTAACTGGGGCAGGAATTAGCTGGTTAATTTGAACGCCTCTAAAACAAAACTGCTCTCTATTACTCATCACAAAAAACCATCCCTGTCCCCCCCCCCATGAGAATGTTCAACTTCTCGAGTTCCTCTGTCCGACTACTCGGCCTCACAGTGACTGATGATCTGAGATTGAACAAATACATTGAGTCAATAGCTTCGTTCACCACAAAAATTTGGCTCCCTGTGCCGCGCCAGGAAAATTTTCTCGCCGGAGTCGATCCTTCAAATCTACAAATCAACCATTCGCCCTTGCATGGAGTATTGCTGCTATATATGGTCCGGTACCCATTCTGTTTGTCTCAAGGTTCTTGATAAGATCCAGAGATGGATATGCAATGTAATTGACCCTGATCTGGCATCTCGTCTGCAGCCGCTCTCTCACAGACGTGCCGTCGCCTCCCTCTGCCTTTTTTTACAAATACTTTCATTGTAACTGCTCCGATGAGCTGCTTTCGCTGGTTCCTAGACTTCATGAATTTAAGCTATCTACTAGGCTGGCATCTTGCTCACACCCTTTCACTGTCGAAACTGTTAAATGTAGCCGTCTCTTCTACTCCAATAGCTTCATGTCTCGCATCTCTCGACTGTGGAACTCCCTTCCCTTTTCCTGTTTCCCTGATAGCTATAGCCTCCAACTATTCAAATGTAATGTCAATCGACGTCTCCAGGTGCCCTGATCTATCCCCTATCCTTCTCTTCATCCTTTCCTCTATCACTCCTATTTGGTCTCACTCCAATTCTCCGTAAGCCCTTGCGTGCTAGTGGCTTCCCGCCTTGCTTCGGGTGAAACACTTTAAAAAAAGAAAAAAAAAGTACTTTGTGCACAAGTTCATCCACTAAAAAAAAAGCAACAAAAACAATGAAATTCATTAACACAAAAAAGATAACCCCAATACTAAGCAGATAA